AATAATAATAATAATAATAATAATAATAATAATAATAATAATAATAAAGCAAATTTAATCTCAGCATCTGATTTAAAGCCATTCTTATGTTTCTGAAGGTCAACTGGCTGTGGCGGACATATTGAATAGGGTTGGCTTCCAAAGCTAGTCAGTTGTAGATGTATATGGGAGTTTCAGAAAATGTGATCAGTGGCTGATAATATCAACGGCAATATAAACTTGGCAAAATGAAAATTGTGTTTTAAAGTAACTTGACTAATTAGAATTATTGTAATGCAAGGACTTTCATCTTACTGACTTTGTTAGATGATGATGAAAATTGAGACTAAAAGAGTAACCTTGTAATCAACTCCATTAAAAATATATCAAACGGTTTTATTTACTTAAGGAATAAATGTTTGCATATTGAGTTTTTGTATAAAAAGCTGAAAAAAACGCAAACACAGGAAAAAATACAGCCCATAAAAACGGTCTTTTACTGTAAGGTTCATCTGATCGTCATAGTCTATACGTCCATAATCAAAGGAATTGTTATAAACTGCGATAGTTCATAGATCCGTCTGTGTGGGTGTGTCCATCTTACCTGTAATGCTGGCAAGAGGTTGGAGGTGCGGGGGTCCAGGCAGCGGCACGGGGGACACATCGAGTGTGTACACCTCGGCTGGAGGATGGATAGAGGGCGTGTCCTCTGCTGGAGGAGTGAAGTCGATCTCGTCATCAAAGTGGTCTTCGAATTCCTACAAGAATGATGACGTGTTTATAGAAGATTTCAAATTGACATTCAAAGACAATTCCTCAAAAGTCACAAGGGAGGCACAACATATTGAGAATATATAAAGTGTTATGCGTTGCTGTCATTGTATGTTCCCATATAGTGGCGAAATTAGTTCTCTGCATTTAACCCATCGCACCTGGTATACACCCAGGTGGAGCAGTGGGCAGCTATGTAAGCACCCGGGAGCAATTAGGGATTAGGTGTCTTGCTCAGAGACACCACGACATGTGGGAATGGCTGGGGAATGAACCTGGGACTTTCAAGTTCAGAGTCAGCTGCCCTGCCTCTAATCCATAGTTATGGCAATGTCACTGCATAAGACACACACTGAAAACAACTTGAACTGCAATAAACTATAGATTTTATCAATTAAGTGCCATGATCTTCAGTCCAGTAATACCAGTATATTTGGCCTATCTGAAGGACTCTCACTGCACTTGATGACCACTCCCGAATTAAACGATAGTGGCTAAACTCTCTAAAGCAGTGGTTCCCAACCCCCGGGATGCAGACTGGTACCAGTCCGTGAGTCAATTGGTGTTGGGCCGCATAGAAAGAATACATAACTTATATTATTTCTGTTTTACTTAGCATCTGATTCTGAACAATGTTTTATTTTGGAAAATCACTGGATTCTCTCTGCCACATCTGTTTATGACTCACTCTTGACGCAGGTTGATATAGAAATTATTATTTTAATGCTTTTATGCCAATCTAGACCTA